TGATGATGTGAGAAATGTTGGTAGTGATGGGAAGTTCGGATCATTTTAGTGACTCTAGATCAGTGTTTCCCAACCCTGTTCCTCGCGGCACACCAACACTGCGTGTTTTCTTTGTCTCCCTTATCAAACACACCTGACTCAACCCATCAGGTCATAATCAGGTGGGTTAATGAGCTAATGGGTTGAATCGGGTGTGTTTGATTAGGGAGACAAAGAAAACACGCAGTGTTGGTGTGCCGCGAGGAACAGGGTTGGGAAACACTGCTCTAGATCATCAGAATGAACGAATCTTTGAGTCGTTTCATTCATTTAAGAGGCTTTCAATGTTATACTTTTAACAGCCAAATTCCCGCAATCTAGCCAAAGATAATATACAGAGAACATATAGTATTTTCCTTCCTAGTCTTTGGATCAGTGTGAACTGGATCGTTCATGAATGACCCATCACTAGTTGAAGGTGTCTGAATGCACTCGGGTTTGACTGTGTGTGTGTGTGTGCGCAGACGAACCCGAAGCTGTACCTGAACCTGCTTGAGCTGGAGTACAGCGGAGACATCCAGCAGAACGAGCCCGAGATCATCGCGTGCTTCGACCGGGCGCTGAGCAGCTCCATGCCCCTCGAGTCACGCGTCACCTTCTCCCAACGCAAGGTCGAGTTCCTCGAGGACTTCGGCAGTGACATCAACGTGTACGTAACTTTCCTCTCTTCTTACAGGGGCTGTGGAGTAACATTGGTACGCTGAAGCATAAAAATACCATTTGTTTGCAGATAATTAGGACACGTGCTAAGATCACACGCTCGTTTTCACTTCTACAGCTGGTTTTTTTACTTACTGTTTTTGTTTTGGTCTGACTCCGCCCACTGCCAGTTCAGCCAATAGTATTTCGACACCCCAGGGTGCAGATGTCGGAAAACACGACGTATTGTCGTCGCCATGGAAATGGGTCAGAGATTGCAGATTCCACACAACCTACAAAGCCTCGATCCATCTAAAAATCACGTTATGTTAAAACACAGTCTGTAAGTGTCCTCCGCTTTCGTTGTCAATTGACCGTTCGCAAAGACCCGCCCCCTTTAGTTACTGTTGCTGTGCCCGAGAGCCACGCCTCTGTCGCACCACACCATCGCAGTGAAAAACACATCACAGAACAGCTTGACTTTTGATATGAAAGTCTCAACTTTCAAATTCGGTAATTTTTAAAAAAAATTTAAGCGATAAATGCAGTTTAATAATAACAAGCTTTGCTATTTTGAATTTGGACTGCAGTACCGCTTTCAACCACTAGCTGAGTTCGTATGTGATTTTTCATATTCGTCATTCGGTGGCTCTGAATGGTCAAAACACCTTAAAATACCACGGATGCGAAAAACACAGAAAATCGAGCCCGATCTGAATTTTTTTCATGACGAATGAGAGTTACACAACGTGAGGTCGTATTTATTTTTTAATGTGTGAAGATTCCAGATGAGGATTTCTGACTCCTTTAGGCTGAACATTAGTTTAGGGGACGTGTTTTTAACGTAACTGTGTTCATCCGCAGACTTGTGGCGGCATACGAACAGCATCAGCGGCTCGAGGCGGAGCAGGAGACGCTAAAGAGGAAAGCAGAGAACGGGTAAGAGACGCCAGTGCGTCAGTCTGTGCTCATTACCAGAGGTGCCGCCCATCACAAAATTCACGGGTCGGGTCATTAACGGTGTTTTTTTTTATTTTTTATTGGGTCTCGGATCATTCTTTTGATCAAAAAAAATGTGAAACATTATTAAAAGCTGTATTTTCACCACAGGGTGACTTTAAATGCAGTGAGTTTGAGTCATAAATCTCCACTTCTGCAGTTTTATTCATATCTATATGCTGAAGGTTTGTTTTCAGGTATCATTCGTAACCGTTTATTCCTGATGAAGTTTTATCCCCGGTCGATAGTAAATTTAAAAGAACAACAGTAATTATGAATCTGACTCTATCCACTGTTCAGATTTCTGTTTTGGAAGTGCATATTCGATACTATGGCTAATTTGCATATTTTAAACATTTGAGAACGTTGAAGATGAGTGTTTTGTCTGGTGTGACGCAGCTCAGAGGAGCCGGACGCGAAGAGACAGCGAACAGACGACCAATCAGCGGCCTCGGGTCAGATGATGGACATGACGGCCAACAGTGCAGGATACAACTATAACAACTGGTATCAGGTCAGTTTATCAACGCTCATGACCAACCAGACGCCTGAACGTGTAAAAAAAATTTCTTGGGGAAAACTTTTAAAAATTGTTTTTGAGTTACCAATACCTGTACTATAACCGGATTTATACAACCGTACTCTCACAACCTTCTGTTTTCTTCTGTTCCAGCAATATAACTCATGGGGAGCTCAGAATTCCTGGGGTCAGTACGGTCAATACGGTCAGTATAACCAGTACTACCCACCGCCTCCCACATAATGCCCACCCGGATCCTGCATCTTACACCTGCTCGAACTGCTGCAACACACACCGTCTCAGACATTCTGTTCTCTTCTGTTGAAATCCGCTTTCCCCTCCCCTCTGTCTAAGTGCAAGCGAGTTTTTAACCAAGCTTGATTTGGTTTAGTGCTTTTGGAGGTTTAGTTGTGTTCGGTGAACGATTTACATTTGTGTGGAAGGAGTTGAGAATGCAGCACTTTGACATCATCTCTGCTCTCCTCAATCAATGTGATCCTGTTTTCAGAGATAAACGTGACATGAAGACGTTTTTTTTATTTCGACTTGGTTTCATAATAAAGAGATTGACATCCTACACGCCTGTGAATGTGATTCATTTACTTATGCGGCTGTTTGAATGTTTATACTACCATCTATACAGGGCTGCCCACTCACACAACTGACACTTTTGATATGAAACTAATTCTCAGATTCTATCGCATTACAAAAATCAAACAATAAATACTGTTTTGGCACTTAAATAGTAAATGTGAAGTGACAGGTCGTAGCGCCTCAGTTCAAGCGGCACGTGAACCGATCATCGAAATGAACACGATTGCACAATATTAGGTTAAAACTTAGCGAAATGTGTATGGCTCATGCGTAATATTGATCAAAGAGGTCAAAAGCTGCAGAATAATGAAATGTAATATTACATTTACCTCAGGAAAGCCATTTATTGACCATAGCAGATTACTTATAGAGATACATATGTGCACTATTACATATATTGTATTAAAAATATAACATCATTATAACAGCATATTTAATTTGAATTGCTATTTTTAACCTTTAATAATACCAGCTGACAGGGCTCTGTATGTTTACAGCATTTTAAGTGTGGACCTATCTACTGTATGTAATATTTATCTAAAAGAATCGAGTTCGGAATCATGAAATTAGTGTCAAGCTATGTTTAAAATGGGATGTGACCATGTAAAAACTGTAACGTTGACACTGGGCTTAATAAAATGTAGTTACCAAATGCTTTGACAATCACAATACACTTATTGTGATGCATTTTTTTTACACCGATCCCTAATTTTCGCTCCAAGTTGGCAGCCCTGTCTAAACTGTTGCTATAAATGTACTATTTGCACTTTGTTCAGCAACAAACTAACCGTTTTATTTTATAGCATCTGAGATTGTATATTTTGAGAACTGTCTGTCAGTGGAGAAAAGCCAAGTCATTTCATTCGGCGGCCATCTTGGAAACGCCTCAGTCATCTCTTTGAACGGGACACATCAAATTCTCCAAAGCTGTTCACCAAGCTTGCGATTTTAAGTCACCTATAAAGTCTGACAACTGTATCATAAATGTTTCTAAACGTTCAAATCATGTTAATAAACTGCGTTTTTCAGACAGGACCAGTCAATGCGCATGCGCAGTCGAGCAGCGCCATTTTTGATTGATGCTGTGAGGAATAGACATCTCTTCAGTCGGTTGTACTGTTATTTAATGAATTGTCCTACTGACGAAACACTGCAGAAATATATAATTTCAGCTGTGGAAATAAGTCATGCAGGATATTTTTTTTTTTTACAGCGGATGCCATTTCTAATTCCTCACAGCCCCGATTTCATACCTGTCATGGCGCCGCGCTGAATATACGGTCTATGATTGGCTCTTTTATTTCGGAGGCGGGGCTTATTCCGCTAAATTGCGCTTTCACTGATAAAAGCTTTGCTTATTTTCGTATCAAAATATATATCATGTTTTAACTAATTTGATTTTTGTACTTGTAATATTCGTGCTGGTTTTATGTACCATTGGTCTTTTAAAATTGTGTGTCAGTCAAATTAAAAGTCTTAAAAGCCTAATTTTTCTTCTTTCCCAGAGAATGTGAGCGTATGAAACAGATGATTTTCTTTGGTTTTCCAGCATCTTCTCAACAGTGACTGTATATGATGACGGTGAGATCGTCTATTCATCGAGGGACTGATGTTCAAGATGGAAACAAACACAATAATAGTCAAAATTTTGTTCTGGGTAATAATTTTAACATTTACTTTTTGAAATATAGCCTATATACTCTGCTATCAAGGAACGTCCTCTCAATGTTCTAGTAACATTAATAAAGCATTTCTTCAAAATCTTCTGGTCTTTATTAATGTTCTTAAAATGTATGAACACATCTGTTATTTTTTATTTAAATTTAAAAATATATTTTCTTAAATTCCACAAGAACATGCATTACACACACATTAAAAACATTACATACTATAAAATTCAGGATACATGTTTTTAATTTTTTAAATAATTTGTTCCAAAAGGTTTGTGTATACTATAAAATGGAAATGTGGTTCCCAAAGTTTCCACTTATTTTCTAATAAAATTAACATTTCTTCATTTTTGTTGTTGTTTCTCTTTGTTCTTGTTCTTTTTCTGTTTTATTTATGTATGCGTCATTTTATAACATTCAGTATCGTCATTTGAGCGAACGCGCACGGATAATGTGATAAATAAAAATGTGATAAATAAAATTCAATAAAAAAAGTATTTTGCCTTGCGGCCTCCGTCACGATCACGTGGGCAGTGCTTTTCCCAGAGTTCTTTGCTCCGCACATGCGCACTTTCCTTTCCTCGTCCAGTTGTGGAACGACTAGCATCATCAAACGTAAGGCCTGCTAATTAAATCACTTATTTATCGCGTTTCTCGTTTGTAATGTACTTTCATGCGACATGGACTGCATCCATAAGCTTTACCATGTGTTATGTTCAAACCCTGAGCCGAAATATCTCAGTAAAAGCCTTTAAATCGCGTTTAGTTTCCCCGTGTGATCCACACCGCGCTCGCGCACGCGACACACTCACTCGTACACGAGTTTCTTATAATATCTGTCATTAAATATGTGATTCAGAAGATATGATATTAAACAGTTACAGTAATTTTAAGCGAATGCAGAAAGACGAATATCATGAAAACACGTCCGGGTTTCCGTTACATAGTAGTACGTCAGAAATTAGTTTACTTTTTTCTATTACAATAAAACCTGAAACAATCAAGAAACATTTATAGTTATTATCATTGTTGAAAACGGTTATTTACATTCTTATTTCAGGATTCTTTGAAAGTTTAAAAGAACAGCATCTATATTAGATAAAATACTTTGTAATATTATACATGGTAATGCATCCTTGATGAATAAAAGTGTTAATTTCTTTCCAAAAATAATTAAACATTTGATTTATAGTGTATAATGTTACAAAAGCTTTCTATTTCAGAGAAATCCTGTACTTTTAAACTTTATAGTCGTCAAAGAATTCTGAGAAATAAAATGTATCAATGTTTCCAGAAATATGACTATGATGATAATAATCATAACTGTGTCTTGATCATCAGATCCTCATATTAGAGTGATTTCTGGAGGATCATGTGACACTGAAGACTGGAGTAATGATGATAAATTCAGGAATAAATTACACTTTACTGGATATTCACATAGAACACAGATGATTTACATTAGAGTCTTACTGTATTTTTATTCAAATAAATCTAGCTTTTGGACTTATTTCGAGAACATAAAAAATCGTATCAATCCCAAACTTTTTAATAGCAGTGTTTATATATTTATATATATGTGTGTGTGTGTGTGTAGACATAATAATAATAATGAATAGAAAGTTAATAAGTTTAAATATATCATTGATCTATGATGTCTGGTCCGGTGTGGTTTAGTCTGGTCTGTTTGAGTGTGTGTTGATCTGGTGTGTGTGTGTGTTTCAGCTCATCATGCAGCTGTTCCTGCGCGCTCAGTCTCTACACACACTCGAGGTGTCCGGACACGAGACCGTCCATGACATCAAGGTGAGCATGAGCTTCAGTGTGTTCTCAGACGTGTGTGTGTGTGTGTGTGTGTGTGTGTGTGTGTGTGCTCGTGCTCATGCTGTGTGTGTGTGTGTAGGCTCAGGTCCAGGCTCTGGAGGGTCTGTCTGTGGAGGAGCAGGTGCTTCTGATGTCCGGATCTCCACTGGAGGATGAACACACTCTTCTGAGCTGCGGAGTCACCGAGCACTGCACACTGGAGCTCACCGCCAGACTCCTGGGAGGTACACACACACACACCGACATACTCACACTGTCGCTCGCTCACTTTAATATAATATTATTGTATTTATTTATTTATAATTTTTATGCATTTATTGCATTATTTTAAATGCATTATTTTAATATTGCATTTATTTTAATATATAATCTTTAATTCATTGTGTGTGTGTTGATCAGGTAAAGTTCACGGATCTCTGGCTCGTGCCGGTAAAGTGAGAGGACAGACACCCAAAGTGAGTCGTTTGTTGATGATTAATATTATTATTTTGACGTGAAATGCATGTCCTGTAGTCTCAGATGCCGTTCTGTGTGTGTGTGTGTGTGTGTGTGTGTGTAGGTGGACAAACAGGAGAAGAAGAAGAAGAAGACGGGCCGCGCCAAGCGCCGCATCCAGTACAACCGCCGCTTCGTTAACGTGGTTCCCACATTCGGGAAGAAGAAGGGTCCCAACGCCAACTCCTAAACCCCGAGCACACACACACACACACACTCTGGAGGAGCATGTGTGCAGAATAAAGATGCTTCTTGAGCTGAGATGGGTCTCGTTTCATTGCTGGATTATTCATCAGTATATTCATGTAGTTTACAGTGTGTTTATAGTAGAAAAAAAATTGTTGTGCAAAATACACACACATATATATATTTATTGGGCCAAACAGGAAATATGTAAATTGTGAATATCAATGTAAATAGATACATATCTGAATATAAACTACATATTCAGATTTACATTTATATATTTAGAGTTATTATTTAATATATTACATGTATGACTAAATAAATGTTGCTCTGAGTCGGTATATTCGCAATATATATTTATAAGTCCTGATTATGTATATAACTAAATATAGTTATAATACTAAACACTAAATATATGAATCTGAATATTTAGTTATAACTGAATACACATTTATAAATCCTCAATATATAGTTATAACAATATATCAATGTAAATCTGAATATATACTTATATAACAATGTATAAATGTAAATAGTATATTTTTTTTAAATAATATATAAACGTAAATAGAATATTTTTTTAAAATCCTGAATTTATAGTTGTAACAATATATAAATCCCAAATATATTGTTAAAACTGAAACTGACTATAAATGTTAGTCAGAATATATATTTATAAATGCTGAATACATAGTTAAAACTGAATATATAAATGTAAATCCTGAATGATTTATAACTAAATATTCCGATTTACATATATATATTCAAGAGTTATAACAATATATAATATACACACACTGTACATGTAATATATGTGTAAGAACGGCACAACACATTGTTCAGGGTTTGTTTTTTTATTGCTTTACAATCATGCAAAAATAGTCAGAAAACTTCTCTTTGTCAGGCTGAAATAACTTGATTAATAATGAACATGTCTAAACAAACGTTCCCTCCAAACCGCCGTCACATGGTTCCCGACGATCAATCAATAGCCACCAGCTCCACCTCAAATATCAGCTTTGCGTTCGGTGGGATTCTGGGTAATAATGGTTAAGGCCAGAGGAACATCATATCAGTCTAAAGAACATCATCAAATAATCAATTAGTGAGACGTTTAACGAAGGATACTTTGCATCTGGAAGGCCTTTCCTCCCGTACGCCCAATCCGACTCGATCTCCAACCGCGCCGTTTCACCTTTACTCATCGTCAGCACACCTTCATCCCACTGCACACACACACACAGTCATCTGAGGATCTCTGGTGATCAATGAATCATACAGATCACCAGTGAATCGCGACTCGCCCCTCAGATCACTAATGAATCGGGGGGATCACTAATGAATCGGGGGGATCACTAATGAATCACGACTCGTCCCTCGGATCACTAATGAATCACGACTCGCCCTTCGGATCACTAATGAATCGGGACTCGCCCCTCGGATCACTAATGAATCGGGACTCGCCCCTCGGATCACTAATGAATCGCGACTCGCCCCTCGGATCACTAATGAATCGCGACTCGCCCCTCGGATCACTAATGAATCGGGGGGATCAGTAATGAATCACGACTCGCCCCTCGGATCACTAATGAATCGGGGGGATCACTAATGAATCGGACTCGCCCCTCGGATCACTAATGAATCGGGACTCGCCCCTCGGATCACTAATGAATCGCGACTCGCCCCTCGGATCACTAATGAATCGCGACTCGCCCCTCAGATCACTAATGAATCGGGGGGATCACTAATGAATCACGACTCACCCCTCGGATCACTAATGAATCTCGACTCGTCCCTCGGATCACTAATGAATCACGACTCGCCCTTCGGATCACTAATGAATCGCGACTCGCCCCTCGGATCACTAATGAATCGCGACTCGCCCCTCAGATCACTAATGAATCGCGACTCGTCCCTCAGATCACTAATGAATCGCGACTCGTCCCTCAGATCACTAATGAATCGGGGGGATCACTAATGAATCACGACTCGCCCCTCAGATCACTAATGAATCGCGACTCACCCCTCGGATCACTAATGAATCGCGACTCGTCCCTCAGATCACTAATGAATCGGGGGGATCACTAATGAATCGCGACTCGCCCCTCGGATCAGTAATGAATCGTGACTTGCCCCTTGGATCACTAATGAATCGCGACTCGCCCCTCGGATCACTAATGAATCGGGGGGATCACTAATGAATCGGGGGATCACTAATGAATCGCGACTCGCCCCTCGGATCAGTAATGAATCGTGACTTGCCCCTTGGATCACTAATGAATCGCGACTCGCCCCTCGGATCACTAATGAATCGGGGGGATCACTAATGAATCGCGACTCGCCCCTCGGATCAGTAATGAATCGTGACTTGCCCCTCGGATCACTAATGAATCGCGACTCGCCCCTCGGATCACTAATGAATCGCGACTTGCCCCTCAGATCACTAATGAATCGGGGGGGATCACTAATGAATCGGGGGATCACTAATGAATCACGACTCACCCCTCGGATCACTAATGAATCTCGACTCGTCCCTCGGATCACTAATGAATCACGACTCGCCCTTCGGATCACTAATGAATCGCGACTCGCCCCTCGGATCACTAATGAATCGCGACTCGCCCCTCAGATCACTAATGAATCGCGACTCGTCCCTCAGATCACTAATGAATCGCGACTCGTCCCTCGGATCACTAATGAATCACGACTCGCCCCTCGGATCACTAATAAATCGGGGGGGATCCCTAATGAATCGCGACTCGTCCCTCAGATCACTAATGAATCGGGGGATCACTAATGAATCACGACTCGCCCCTCGAATCACTAATGAATCGCGACTCGCCCCTCGGATCACTAATGAATCGCGACTCGTCCCTCAGATCACTAATGAATCGGGGGGGATCACTAATGAATCGCGACTCGTCCCTCGGATCACTAATGAATCGCGACTCGTCCCTCAGATCACTAATGAATCGGGGGGATCACTAATGAATCTCGACTCACCCCTCGGATCACTCGGCCCAGTCCGACCTTGAAGCTCAGCGGTTTGGACTGTTTCTTCTTCTTTGCAGCTGGAAAAACAGAAGAGAATCAAACTAAAGATGATGTACTAATCGCACTAAGACAAAAAAATAAATAAAAATGAAAACAGAAAAAATAAAAACTAATTAAAACAGCAGTGTTGGCATCCTCACAGGCGGGGATGTTGGTGTCGAAGACGGTCCCGTCCTCCAGCGTCCCGCTGTACCAGCAGCTCACGGTGTCGCCCTTCCTCGGGAAGTTGGTCTTGTCTCCTTTCTTCAGGATGGACTTGGTGAACTTCGGAGGACCCTGAGGAGAAACATCATCAATCGGCAGTTCAGTCCGAAACTAAAGTTGTGCATGTAAACAACAACGAAGATTCAACACTCGTGTGTGATGATGATGATGATGATGAAGATAGTACCTCATCCACCGTCTCTGTCTTGATATCTTTGGGATTGTCGTGGATTTTAACAGCTTGAACCTCTTCCGTCACCAGTTCCACTTCTGTGCCTTTAAACCTCTGAGAGAAACACACATCAGCTCACACACTTCTGCTTTGTCCCTGAATGAATCAGCCGTTTGGAACGAATCGTTTGAGTGAATGATTCAATGACTCAGTGATTTGCCGCCACCTACTGGCGTTTCAGGTGCATTTCTTTTTATCTTATGGGCGATAGTTAAGCGTTTATAAATAGCCAATTATTATTGGCTGTCATAATGTTGAATATGAGATGTTCGTGTGTTTGTTACCTTGCTCTCAAACAGTTGGTTATACGCTTCGATAAGTTGCTCTTTTTTGGCCGTCTTTGCCACATTCTTGATGTTTCCAAGAAGTTTGTGTTCGGCTAGAAACTGCAAATGACAACATGATCCATTTACACACACATAAATATTATATATATTGACATATACACACATCATGTATCATAATACCATATAATGCATACAATTCAGCTTTATTATGCACATTTAATTTTCATTGCTATGCAAATGTATCTCTATAAATGACTTTTTATACAGCTTGAAATAATGACGCATGCACATATTAAAGTAAAAATATGTGGGAACCCCCCCCCCCCCTCCTCCTCTCTCTCTCTCTCTCTCTCTCTCTCTCTCTCTCTCTCTTTCTCTACATAGAACATGCATTTGATCTGGATTGTTTTGACACATGACTCCTCTGCCACACACTCTCTGCACGCAGTGTTGCGTGTTGTGTGGTACGCGGGAGCGCGCAGCTGTAGTGTGTACACTACCGAGTGTGCTCCGTTATCCTGGATGAATTTGATGAGCTCTTTCTTCGGCACTTCTTCAGTCTTG